GACTCTTATCAGAAGTCACTTTTACTCTTAGTGAGATAGGGAACAGTTATTGAAGGGCCTGGAGGGAAAAGGTGACACAATTACATTTGCATTTTATTTTTATTTTTTTTAAAGATTTATTTATTTATGCTTACATGAACTGGGGTACAAGCCAGAGGTGTGGAGAGTGAGAGGATTCACCAGAGACAGAGTGGGGAGCAGAACAGGCAGATTGGCTGAAAACACTGCTGAGGGGAGCAGTGGGAGAGTCAGGAGAGGTCTGCTGTGCCACGTAGGTAGCTCCCTGGCCAGCCGGGGATCAAACTCGTGCTGCAAAGGCTGTGATAACTTCATTGTGCTGTGCTTAACCCCTTGTGCGACCAGAGAGGCCCCTCCATTTGCATTTTAATAAAATTGTTTTTACTGCAGTGCTGAAATAAGCTACCCTTTGGGCCAAGACCAAAGCAGGGATACCAGTTATTGTAGTAGTGTCGTGTCGGCATGAGATGAGGGGGTACTAGGACTAGTGGAATAGCAGTAGAAGTGGTGAGATGTGATCAGAACCTGAATCTATCATGTAGACAGAAATGGCAATAACAGCAAACACTTATATAACTTTACTTGTGCCAGGTACCATTCTAAATGCTGACATGTTCATTCTTTACCTATGAGGAGATTAAAACAGAGAGAGGTTAAGAAAGTTGCCTAAGACGTCTAGCTAATAGATGAAGTAGCCAGATTCAAATTCAGTCTAACTTCTATTTTCTTAACCACAGCAATATAGAACGTTTCTAAATAAATGTCTATCTGCTACACTTACAGTTTATTCTAATGGCTATTCTTAAAGAATATATAAACTCTAAGTGAAACATACTAAGTGTTGCTTTGGAGCATGAGTGATTTGGAACATTATAGACCATCACTCATTTATGTACACATACATATTCAAAATGGAAGTTACTTCCAATTTGTTGGGGTGTATTGTAGGATTTCAATGACTTTAGGATGAACAAAGACTTTAGGATTTCAATGACTTTAGGCTGAACAAAGGGTACCTGTGCTAATTAGGATGGCAGATCATATCAGAACTTTGAAATTTAAATGCTTAGTGAAAATGGTCTTAGGCTCTGTTACAGAAAGTAAATGGCCAGGAGTCTCTGTATTCAGGAGGAGAGTAGCATGAATTTAAAATTGTATTGGTCTCTGGGATGCCTGGAGTGAAGTGAGGTTCACTATTTGGGATAACACTAAGTTTAGTAACTGGGGTTATATCTCCCCTCTAACAGACAGGTTCTAGTGTTTCAAGAGCAGAGGGATTCATTCCTGGCTCTAAATGTTTGTAGGATTAGCAGTTCCTAAAACCAGGATTCTGTTTTTAGTACAAGGAGCCCTGAGAACAACTAAAATGGCTCTTCTTTTAAAGCATATGAAGATATTTTCAGGTGAATTTGACAGAATAATTGCATGTGAGAGACTTGGAGAGAAAGAAGAATTAATGACTCTTGTCACTAATTCTATTCTTTGTAGATGATACTGAACAGCTTTTGGAGAGGGTCTGATTTTTGATAAAATAAAAGATAAATGTCTGTGCAGATCTAATGAAGAAAAAGAGAAGCTTCCAAAGATACAATTTAAAGTAGGTGTCATTATCAATGTTTGTATGTCATCAAAAGAAACATCCCAGTACCCCTGTACTTTCTTATCCATTATAATAGTCCTAATTCAAATGTCTACTCTTCTTAATGAACAATGGCATCACTGTGGTTTTAGTTTCTGTGATACATAAACACTTTCCAAAAGTTTATAATTAATGTCATGCTTGTTGCTTTCTTTAATGAAATATAGCTCAAAATAAGAATGATCTTATAGCTTTGCTTCCTATGATATGTAATAGAAGCAATTTAGATGTCGATTACCACAGATTAGGATTGTGAAAGTACTTTGGGATTGAAATCTAATCTTTAAATGTGTATTTCCTTTTTTCAATATGATGTCAGAAATATCTTGGGGTTCAGATCCTATTGTTTTTATATGCAGTCTAATCCTTTCAAAGACATGAAAGTTTTTAAGCCAAGAAAAACAAGTCTGTATAAAGCACATGCACACACACATACACATATATAAAATTTTCTTACCCAATACAAAATTAGTACATAAAATAAATCAGAAATTAATAATGAAAATGATCATTTGGATGATATATAGAGATGTGCTGTAGGTTTATCAAGTAAAATAAATGTACCATTCTGGTGGGGGGATATTAATAATGAAGGAAATGATGGCTATGCGAGAAATCTCTACATTTTGTTGAGTTCTGCCATGAATCTAAAACTGCACCTCCCAAATAAAGCCTATTTAAAAAATAAGTATTGAAATATTAAGCTGAAGAAGCTTATATTAGAAACAGCCAATCCAAGTTAAAACTTTTTTGATGATGTTCCATTTGATAATGATGTGAACATATATTTTATGATGTACGTAAGAATAAGAATAAAAAGCACCAGGATATACAAGGACATCATAAGCTAACAATTAGAATGTTAAAGTGTGTGTAATATAGTTGATTTGCCATATAAATTTAATCCTTCAGTGTGGTAATTTCCTTGGGCAGAGTTATTCAGTTTAACTGCTATGTTTGGTGGTCAGTTCCAGAATAGAATGGAGATGATATTTCTGGTTTTACATGTCAATATAGTTATGTCACCTGCTGATACTCCTGTGAATTCCAAAGATGTGTTTTGGAGGCAAAAAGCACAGGAAATGGTCACTGGATGGGATATGGGGGGAAAAAGGAGTCAGAAGGGTGAGAGTAGTCACTTCCTTGGGCTGGGCTCTGATTTTCTGTAGCAAGGGCTTTGGGGATTCTGAGTCACTTCATCCTTCTGACCCAAGGTCTCACATGAGTAGTTATTTCTCTGATGTGACCCTGCAACCTGCCCTTCTGTCTGCCATCTGTGCAAGCTTGCATGGTGTCTTTGCACCTAATGTCCTTCCAGCCCATTAGCTCTGTTACTGTTACCCATTTTACTATGACTTCTATTCTTGCAATTTGGAGAGGAGAGCTGCTTTAAGCATCCCAAAGACATCACCTACTCCAGACCCTTCAAGTATTGGGAGGTTTTACGCAGGACCTATGTCCATACATAGCCTTGAATGCTACTTACCTAAAGCTGATTCTCTTTCTGGGTCCTTCTGTTTTGTCAGTAGGACCTGAGTCATCTTACTTGATCTGGAGGAAAATGGTTGAAGCCTACTGACTTTTGAAGCTTTTCACAATCTAATTGTGAAAAGTTCTTTTTGAAGTGCTGTCTTCTCCCTCCAGTCAGTCTTAGGAGTTCTGAATTGAAAGCTACAGGATTATATGAAAACCCTTTTTCTTTTGCTGCATGGGGTATGAATTTTTTCACTTTTTTTTTTTAAATGCTGGATTTTTTTTAAAAAAAAGATTTATTTATTTATTTATACAAGCACTGGGTACAGTCAGAAGCGTGGGAGGGTGAGAGAACTCACCAGCGCCAGAGCGGGGAACAGAACAGGCAGACTGATGAAATGCACTGCTGAGGGGAGCAGCAGGCACAGAAGGAGAGGTCTGTCGCGCTGTGCGGGACTCTTGCCAGCGACCGGGATCGAACTGGTGCTGCAGAGGCTACGGGCAGCTTCGCAGCCCAGCGCTCAACCGCTGCACCACCAGTGGAGGCCCTGAATTTTTTCACTTTTGAAAGTGAGAAATGTATACACCCTAAAATCTAAAATGCACTGTACTTATAGCCTTTCTTAATTCCCAGGGCAATAATATTTGTGGGCTTTCAAAATGGACTATTTAGGGGTGTTGATCCTGCAGAAACACAGGGTGGTTCTGCTGAAGTCGACTTCAGTCATGCAAACCTGGAGCTGAAGTTTATGGTTTGCTGAATAAATTAATAGAATTAACAGGGTTGCTAGGGTTGGAGAATAATTGATGCCCTGCTTCAAAGCACTTTAAAATGAATTATTTTAAAAAAACAACTTCTGATTGAATTATTGAATTGATAAAACTCTTAGTGCAGATGTGGAGTTTAGGGATCAAAGGCTCTAAGAGCTTTTTTTACAAATGGAGAAAATTATAAAAAACTAAAACAAAGTGATGTGCTCAAGGTTATGATGACCTGTTTCTGCTTTCCTTCTTTCTTTCCTTTCAACTGACTTCCTTTTCTAGTCATGTCAGCAGGACACGGCGCAGGAACTATGATAGTTTATTAGGTTAGTGTCAATTGATTTAAAAGTAATCAATAATTTCTCAAAGGTGAATCTGATTTTCAAACTAATTTACCCTGGTAATTGTCATCTACTTTTAAAATATGGTTTACCACATTTGGCTTTATTATTGAGACTTAGGTGAGTGTAGCTAGTAACAATCCATAAATCCAGGTGAGGCGAGGATTGCGCTTGCTTATATCTTTTCCTTATAAGTTAAAACATATGTTTGAATATGATAACATTTATGAAACTTTCTAAGGATAAATTTTTAAAAAGAGTTTTGTGGTGGCTGGACTTTATATTTAGAAGGAAAATTGTCCTTCAGCATGAAATAAAGATGATATGTGAAAATCTGAAATAGATTTAGTATAGACTTACCTCTAACTGTGATTTAATCACCTTTAGAACTTGGGATTTATTTGACTTTGAAGTATATTTACTGTTTTGATTTTTTTTTTTGGTTGCTTTTTTTTTTTTGCCAAAACAAAATCAGCAAATATAAAGTAATATTTGCATTGCTTTATTTGCCATAATGATAATTTCTTATTACTTTTGACAGATATCATAACTGAAATATAAAAAAGTTTTCAAAAGTATTACTAAATAATTTGAAAATTTCTAAGAACCAGTTTTTAAGTTATCAGATAAGCTACCTTAGTGTGCTGGATGTGAATGCTGACTTTCAGGGTGTAAATGACACTTCTAGTTCCTCTAGAAGTTTTGTGTTTCCTTTGCTTTAGCATTTGTGAATTTCTAACTCACTAGAATCTTTTCATTCCTTTCAGGTAAACATGTTACCAGACATACAGCATCAACTTTGCAGAAAGGAAGGATTATGTCAAATAATTAGGAGATTTCCAGGTAATATTTCCTTTGTTTCTTTATGCATAATATACTTGTAGGATATGTAGGCTTACTCAATTAAGATCTCAGATCAGCATTTTTAATTCTTTTGTCTATCATTTCCACTATCACAAATCTTCCAGAATCCAAGGCGTTGTCAGTGGTAAGACCTTGATAATAAGGAATATAAGCACAGGCTTGGTATTTTTTTTTTTTTTACATTTGATTTCCAGGGGAATATTCCTTTTCTTTTTCTGTGTTTGTCTTAAAAACAATTACTGCTTTATTTTCAAAATGATGTTATAGAGCTTTTCCATGGTATAAAAGTTGAGGTTTAAAAATATATGTTGGTTCATGATTACATGATTCTAATCCTAACAGATTTGCTTCTTCTCTTTCAAATCCTCTCATTCTGTCTGTGAGCTGAAGACAGGATGCTGAATGAGTAAATTCTATGTTTGGACAATATTTGAAATTTGGGACAAAAATTTCCATCTCTACTTTCCTCATAGATTCTCAGAGCAGGGAATAACCATTAGATAGTGTATGAGTCCTCAGAGATGAGATTATAGCCTGCTTTAAAATACATCAATGAAAGGACTCCTCAGATTTCCTGTTTAAACCCATGTAATGTTCAGCAACATAAGCCCCCTAGAAAGCATTTCACTGTATAATTAAAATTTAGATATGCATAGCTTTAATTAGGTTTAAAAAATAATTTGTGTTTTAGTGGAATCAGAAAACTAATATCTACCCCCTCAGTTTTTACAAGGGATTTTTACTTCCACACCAAACACACACTCCACTGGCATGCCATCATATAGATAGCAGCCGTCTATGGTCACTTACCAAGGATTAAAATAAAGAATTAGCGGTTTAACTTTCAGTTTAAGAAATGAGTTTAAAATAAATAATAGCTACATAAACTTAGTCCTGTAGTTATTGCTATAGAGGGCAATTGTAAGTGACTCCATCATCTTGAAATTTTGTATTATCTTTATAAACTACAGTTGTTTTTGTGAGAAGCAAGCAAAATATTTCCATGAATACATTAGTAAGTATCTAGCAATCCTTTATTCAGGGCAATTTCACAAAAGTTGTTTATATTTCGAACACAGTCTACATATTTTTAAAGTCTGCTTTTCTTTGGTTAACTCAGAGCATTAAGTTTCTCTAACATGGATTTGGCAGAATAGAATTATAGGAGTGAAAGATGATTTGTAGCCAGAAATGGGTTACCAGTTTTTTTTAATTCCCCAAATTGACTCTTAGATGAGTATTTTTTTTACATGTTTCTTCCGTAAAATTAAAATTTTTTTCCCTGTCTTTTCTTGTAAACATATTTTATTCTCAAAGACATATATACATTCCGGATATACATAGTCCTTTCTTCACTCTGTCTAGTGTATTAATTTTCTATTTGTCTCTGTGACTAACAAGATGATTTCATGGAATATATAGTCTTTTAAATGGAATTATTTTTTCTGTGATGTTATCTTTCTCTAGTTAAGTAAATTTTTGGATGTGTAGTTTTAAAGGAATATGTCTGTCGTGTGATTTCTGGTTTAAGCTTTATACACAATAGCCTCTGTTATAGACCTTTGCTATGATGATACAGTATATAATATAAACTCAGTATGCACAAGATTAAAAAGCTTTGTTGCTGACATTGAATATTTTTTATTAAATATAGATCAGAAAGGAACATATGAGTACCTAATATATAGTACTATAAAAAGATAAGATAGTAAAAAATAAACAATAGTGTATGTTACCCATTTTAAGGCAAAATGGCCCATGTCTTCTTAAGCTGTGCTATTTATTGGAGGTAAACAAAACAAAAACTTTGAAGTTAGGCATTTCAGCTCTCCCTATCAGCTACAGAACTTAACTTTAGGTGTTGGTGCTTTTGGTTTTTTATCTATGAAGTAAGAATGAGAACTTTATCATGGAATTAATTTAAAATTTAAGCAGATTCTATAGGAATGTATATATTATATATATATAAAATCTGATTTGATATATAATTTGATGTGTTATACCTAACACATAAGATTAAAGAAAAGATCACTGGATCACCCTAGATTTGAAAAATGAAACAGGCTTCTTAATACTTAACATTTTCTTTTTTATATGGTTGATTATCACTCTGATTTTATATTCCTGTCAAAACCTGTGAAGCCTCTGAGATCTCACAGTGCATCCAAGTTCATAAGTCATCTTGCCAGTTTCATAGGTCCTGGCAGAAGACATGAGGCTCCTGGGTCAGAGACAAATGACTTCAGCATTCACTGAGTCCCAGTTCCCACAGGGTGATATGTAGCGGGCCAGGTGACCCTGTGTACTAAGTATTTTGCAATTCAAGAGAAGAACTTCAAGCTTAGGGGGTTTGAATGTTTTATAATAGACAGTGAGTTTGCCTGTCCTTTGTCCCAGAGAGAGACATTATTTTGTTGTATTGGACAAAATCTTCTCTTTGCTCCAGAGTAAGATATCATCTCTGTCTTTCAAGGTTATCCACTATATTAATATCTTGGAAAAGATAGTTCAGAATAAAGATGGTCAGTGTCTGCAAAATGAGCAGAAGTGTAAAAGATGCATGGAGAAGTCACCCAACAGTGAGAAGAATGCGTGGCAAGTTCTAGCTCTGAGTTGGAATCATTTTATAATTCTGAGCAAGATTTGAAACCGAGTTATACTTTGGTTCCGTTTCTATAAAAGTGTGACATTTGGCAATGATCATTAATGCTGAGATTCCATGGTTCCACTGTAACATTTTCCCAGATGGACATGCTGCCTCAGGCTTTATTTTCAACAGTGGGTAGATACAGAGACATTAAGCAAGGAGGGATGATCATACCGGTAAATATGGTTGAGGTCCTGTGAGCATGGCAGGACAAACAGCTTTGGCCAGATGTAGAGCAGTGTTCAAAGACAGCAAGGACAGCTAACACAGTCTGTTCCATTCCACAGACAACAGAGTGTACCTGCCGTTAGATTGATGACTCACACCGAAGGGCACGGATCCATGAAGTTTTTACTGGCTAGCACAGAGATCTATTTTTATCTTGCCATTTAATGTTTGCCTTTTAAAAAAGTTTCGTAATTTTTAGTTGGCCCAAACTTATGGCTAATGCCTTTTAAGTTTGGATTTTTGATAAAAAGAATGCCTTTTCCATATTTGAAATTAAAGTAGAAAACAAAACATCAGCGCGCTGTTTTCCTTGGTTCCTGAGTTGCTGTTTTTGTTCATTTTCCTGCAGTATCACTCTCCAAGAAGCCCTGGTTAGCAGAGTGCCAAACTTTGGCTATTACTCATTCTTTCCAGTGTTTTTTTTTTTTTTTTCCCCTCTTGGCTCTCAAGCACTGACTTCCACGTGAAACTCGAAATATACCCAGACTTATTACTCAAAGATAGAATTTTGAACATTTTAGGATCTATGTTCTCATTTTCTGGTGTAATATGTTAAATGCATAAAGAAGAAGGAAGGAAAATTAAAAAGAAAATAACGCCTTTTGTTGCATCTAAACAAGACTGGTCTTTAAAAAATTATGGAGAAAACATGACTTTAAAATAACATCATTGAAATTATTTTTAAACATTGACTAAAAGCAGTTATTTATCTTGCATGACCTTGATTGCTTTTAATTTAAAGGTCTAAACATTTGTGTTAATCATATGATATCAATGAAATATTGTTAAGGAATCCAGTGATCTAACAAATAAACAGAGCAACTTGCTAAGTGTCAATGTTTAATACTACTTGATGCTTATTGTTTTCATTTTCTTTCCTCGCTTCTGTTCTAGCTAGGGGGACTGTTCTCCTTCAAACAAGACATAGGAACATTCCCAGTATTAAAGAAGCTTGGGGGCCTTATCTCTACAAGGCAATCAGGCACATTTCAAAGAAGGCCAATGTTTGCTTGTTTTCTGTGTGCTCCAATACTGACAACCCCTCTCCGTGTCTCCTATGTGTTCCTTCCTATTTCTATCTTTCCAAAGACTTCCACCTCCTGTCCTACATAGGATGGTATCCTTTACGCAGAACATTCTTTCCCCAAGTAAAAATCACATCTCTTTAGTATGACTGACTTCAGCTAGGTGATAGCAGAAGTAAGCTGATGGAACTAATTCAGACTAAATTATACCCTCACCCCAGTTATAAGCCTCTTAGATGTATTTGCATTTTTATAAAAGAAGCTTACAACCCTGATGAATTTCTAATTGGTAGAATTTCTGCAAGTGCATTCAAATTCCATTCAGTTCATCAGCAAGTCCTCCACTCCCAAACTCACCAAATATATCTACTTTTCTCCATCTCTACCTTGATCAGCTTAGGCCAAGTCAGAACTCTCATACTCTTCCCACTTCCTGTTTTGCCCCTGAAAAAAATCTAATCTGTTATCCAGCCTGTAGCCAGAGTGAACTTTCCCCAACCCCTTTAATTAAATAAAACAGGTTTATTAGGTTTGCTCATAACAGTCTGTCTGGGGACTAAACTGTGATGTCCAATTGCCTCTGATACTCTACTTGGTCCCAGGATAGATTTTATCTAGACCAGAAGCAACACCCAAAAATGTTGATGAGAGACCTGATAGGTAACATTATAAATTCACAATTTCAGAATCTTGAGAGGCCAGATAATCTGCACATTTTCAGTATTTTGCCCATCATTAAATTTGTAGACTCTTGAGCATCAGCCATTTGGTTTCCGAGAAAAGATGAGGAATTGAGGACAGAGAAAGTTACAAGTCAGCGGCCTGTTTCACCCAGATAGACCTAGCGCTGCTGCAACGTTGGAAACTTAAGAAATGTTCCTTCATGTTTCTCATCCCTGTAAAATTCAGTGATCACTAAGATTCAGTCCCATCCAGTGGCCTACTTCTCCCACCTCTTTAACCCCAAATTTCTCTGTGTTCAAAGTACATCTTGACTTTTCCCTAAACTCTTAGTAGCTCTAACTTTCATTTTCTGATGAAGCAGTAGCCCCTGAGGACAATGAAGTTGAGATTTCTGC